AGAGAGAGAGAGAGAGAGAGAGAGAGAGAGAGAGAAGAGGATCATCTTTTTTTCTTGGACGACGGGACACATATGTACACATGAGAGCAAACTTAAGTAAATGTGTAATACTTTTGGACATACTCACGGTCAAAATCAAACTTACGTCAATATCCATCGGTAGGATTTCGTTTATGTCTTCGGCCTATTTCCGGTCGTCCCTGAAACGGAAGGTCGTTTACTTTTATGAAGACCAATGACCGTTTTTTAACGTTCGTTGCCGACATTGTGAAATTGTGGATGACTTTCCTTGAATTTCGACGGTGAAGGGATATAAAAGCACGTGAAATGTAAGACCAACTTTGAATCGTTTTCTAGACATCTGACAAGTAACAGTGACACATCCGTTTCGTGATGAGAAGTTTACTTTTAATAACAGCGCTTAGCGCGATTTTTCTAAGAGACTCATTTGGTAAACCAATGGAAAAGATGGATAATTCTGATGTGCTGGATCCCGTTGCTTCGATTGTAAACGACTCCTCCGAAATTGGTAATAAAAATTTTTTATTTTAATAGATAAAAATTTTTGTAACAAACACGTCTTTAGAAAATTTATTTAAAAAACGATTTTAATTTTAATAAAAATAATGCAAAAATTTATTCATTTTCATTTGCATATATGATGTTTATACAATTTCTTAATTTTTTTTAGCTTTTTCCTTCTTTTAAAGAAAGTTATCCACTTATCTCTAACTAGAATATTATTTTAATATTAATGTATAAAGGAATAAATACTTACATTACTTTAGAAACCACGAGAGAGCAAAGATCGCCGCAATTCGGTTTGTTAGGTGGTTACAGTGATTATGATTATGATGATACGTATTTCCATTACGGAAACAGGCGAAAATATCATCATTATAAACCGTTTCGACCTCATAGGCCACATGGTCTCATCGGAGGATATGGATGTCGTGGAGGATATGGCTGTGGTGGAGGATATGGGGGGTACGTGTAGAATATTATTTTATTTGATTAAAAAACAATAATCGCTATTTTATACGTGACAATTTAAATTATTTTATAATTTCGTCACATATGATAAATAAAAAAAAATCTAGTTCTTCACAAATATTTGTGATCTAAAATGGGCAAGATAACCGTTTGCATTTTATCTTCTGATTCACGCAGATGGCAACCGGACTATGGCGGTTATGGACAAGGAACGTCCTTTGCTTCAGCATCAGCAGGATCTGTAGGTGGAGGTGGTCCTCATGGTGGAGGACACAGCCAGGCGAATGCACAGAGCGCGAGTTTTAACATCGGGCCTTTCTCAGCTTCGTTCAGCGCTGCTCAATCGTTGGGACAAACTGGATTCTGAATTTTTTAAACGGTAAGCACTGGACTGGATCTTATCCTAATACACTGTAGACTCGTATGTTTATTTAATTAAATATTTATCTAAATTAATTAGAGCTCCATTATACTAAAATATAATAATATTTTACTTTATCACTATCTTTGCGTATTCCTATGGCAAAAAAAGAGTGCGTGGAAATTAAATAATATAACTATTAGGTGCGCAACTAAGTTCTCGCTGTTATATAACAGCGAGAACTTAGTTGCGCACCTAATAGTTATATTATTTAATTTCCACGCACTCTTTTTTTGCCATAGGAATACGCAAAGATAGTGATAAAGTAAAATATTATTATATTTTAGTATAATGGAGCTCTAATTAATTTAGATAAATATTTAATTAAATAAACATACGAGTCTACAGTGTATTAGGATAAGATCCAGTCCAGTGCTTACCGTTTAAAAAATTCAGAATCCAGTTTGTCCCAACGATTGAGCAGCGCTGAACGAAGCTGAGAAAGGCCCGATGTTAAAACTCGCGCTCTGTGCATTCGCCTGGCTGTGTCCTCCACCATGAGGACCACCTCCACCTACAGATCCTGCTGATGCTGAAGCAAAGGACGTTCCTTGTCCATAACCGCCATAGTCCGGTTGCCATCTGCGTGAATCAGAAGATAAAATGCAAACGGTTATCTTGCCCATTTTAGATCACAAATATTTGTGAAGAACTAGATTTTTTTTTATTTATCATATGTGACGAAATTATAAAATAATTTAAATTGTCACGTATAAAATAGCGATTATTGTTTTTTAATCAAATAAAATAATATTCTACACGTACCCCCCATATCCTCCACCACAGCCATATCCTCCACGACATCCATATCCTCCGATGAGACCATGTGGCCTATGAGGTCGAAACGGTTTATAATGATGATATTTTCGCCTGTTTCCGTAATGGAAATACGTATCATCATAATCATAATCACTGTAACCACCTAACAAACCGAATTGCGGCGATCTTTGCTCTCTCGTGGTTTCTAAAGTAATGTAAGTATTTATTCCTTTATACATTAATATTAAAATAATATTCTAGTTAGAGATAAGTGGATAACTTTCTTTAAAAGAAGGAAAAAGCTAAAAAAAATTAAGAAATTGTATAAACATCATATATGCAAATGAAAATGAATAAATTTTTGCATTATTTTTATTAAAATTAAAATCGTTTTTTAAATAAATTTTCTAAAGACGTGTTTGTTACAAAAATTTTTATCTATTAAAATAAAAAATTTTTATTACCAATTTCGGAGGAGTCGTTTACAATCGAAGCAACGGGATCCAGCACATCAGAATTATCCATCTTTTCCATTGGTTTACCAAATGAGTCTCTTAGAAAAATCGCGCTAAGCGCTGTTATTAAAAGTAAACTTCTCATCACGAAACGGATGTGTCACTGTTACTTGTCAGATGTCTAGAAAACGATTCAAAGTTGGTCTTACATTTCACGTGCTTTTATATCCCTTCACCGTCGAAATTCAAGGAAAGTCATCCACAATTTCACAATGTCGGCAACGAACGTTAAAAAACGGTCATTGGTCTTCATAAAAGTAAACGACCTTCCGTTTCAGGGACGACCGGAAATAGGCCGAAGACATAAACGAAATCCTACCGATGGATATTGACGTAAGTTTGATTTTGACCGTGAGTATGTCCAAAAGTATTACACATTTACTTAAGTTTGCTCTCATGTGTACATATGTGTCCCGTCGTCCAAGAAAAAAAGATGATCCTCTTCTCTCTCTCTCTCTCTCTCTCTCTCTCTCTCTCT